TAATCTTCATTTACTGGAGCGAATGAATAAGTTACCTGTCATAGGGTCCCACTGAACTGCAACATTCTGGGTCCCAGGCCAGGCAACTCATCACTGCTGCCCACTTATTTCTGCATAACTTGAACGTTTAATCTCGCAATTAGGAAGGGTTTTTGCTTGGCCCTCAGAATATTCATGGATCTGGAAACCACGCGGGTTTGGTGCAACGCTCCTGCGCACTTGATTGATTCCTGTATATTCCACTTGCCTGAACCGAGGCACACTTTCTGGTTCCGCATCACCGCCTGGGTGGGTTTTATGGCTCAGCCCTCGGGACTCTTAAATGATCCTTCAGTAATTATTACGCACTGGAAGCCCCTACCTCCTGTTCCGGTGCTATCAACAATCACATCAAACCCCAAAATAAACATATGATTTCAAGCATTAATTAGAAAATCTGCATGTTTTCAATAAAGCTACAGAGTAAGCATACAGAAGTTACCCCAGTCAAACAAGAGGAGAAAGAAAGAGGCAAGGGACAGAAACCTCCTCCCCAACCTCTTCATTGTCCTGTCTAGAGAATGTCACTGCAGTGTGGTGGCCTACTATCTCCGCCAATGCTTCCCCCCCCCCCTTTAAATGGGACGTTTTCTTTGAGTAGAATCGCAAAACTTTAAAATTCATCTCCAAGTCCAAATACGATGTTGAAGGCAAACTCCTGTCCTGGAGAGTGGACTTGAAAACGGTCCGGAAGCGATCAGTAATAAAAGATCTGGGTCCAGAAATCTATGATCCTACACCCCATTATTTTAATATGTGGGACGGCTCAGCCTGCGCCTCCACACCACACCAAGCCGACACCAGCAATTCCCTTCCCCACCGACACGGAAGAAGCAAATGCCTTTCCTCTTCACAGCGGGACCCCCTCCATTCGAAAGAGCTTTTCAAACAATCCACTGCAAACGAAATATCCCAAGAACTTTACCCCCCCCCTCCTTTTTTTTGTTTTTAGAGACACATTTTTAATCTGACGTCATTTGTCATTAATTTTAGAAAAGAGCATGAGCTTATACACAAAAAGGGCCAGGGAAAACTTTTGACACTTGTATTTTCTGAAAATCAAAAAAAGCCCCTTTTTCTCCACAAATTGAAGAAATGTGAAGAGAATACAGGCTCCCAGCGATCCTGTGTCCGAATTCTCTCAGTTTCATCCCTGCAATTGTTGCAAACCTCCCACGCTTATTTGAGATTTTATTTTTAAAGGGGGGGGGGAGTCCGGTGAAAGTGTGTCTCCAGTCCCAATCAAAACATCAATTTGGCAATCTGGCCTCTTTCGCCTTGCGCTCCCGCACGGCCACTTCAAAGACGCGGCAACAAGTCCGTAATTGTAACGTTACATCTAAATATTTAAGCGGAAAGTCTTCCCGTCGCGTGTCCATCTACAGTCCCCGTCTGTCCGGTAATTCCATTACCGCACAAAGCAAAAATGTTGCCCAAAACTCACAAACAGGAAAAGCGTCACCCTGCTGAGAGAAAGGGAGGGGGTTGGGAGGAGGAGGAAGAGGAGGAAGAGGCAGAGGGAGGAGGAAAAAGAAGGAGGGGAGGAGGTGGAGAAGGAGAGGATGATGAAGGAGCACTTTCTATCGATTAGTCACCGCTTTTGTGTTAAGGGCTTTCTTTAAAATAAGAAAAAAATGGGGGAGGTTGCAGAAATTTCACTAATGTGAGCCTCAGGCTAGGGAGGGAAAAAAAAGAGGAGAAGAAGGGGGAGGCGGGCTGTGTCTAGATGAAAGTGAGAGGGACATAAAGGAGGCAATTGAGTCGGCTGCAGCCCGGCGAGCTAAGCTGCGGGCCGGCCGGAGCGTGGGGAGGGGCGGCGCGGCGCTTTGGCGCAGGGCGCAGCAGCGGGGGCCCCGGCT